TAATTGTAATTAATTTAAAAGGCGGGACAGTAAAACAGGCCTTTAAACATTCAGCCATCCAGGGGCCAGATGCATAAATGATGCGTCCGCATAAAAACCATGCTTACACTATTTCCCGCTCATAAATTGGTCTTTATAGACACAGAATGTGTCACCTCACACATTCCTTTGACCGTGTGAACACGCCGTTTTCCAAAATGATCCAAGTCACAGTGAAGTGAAACTACGTGATAAGGCGAGACACGTGATTTAACCTGAAAAAAAATAACAAACTTCACGGAGCTGGCAGTCGTTATCAGTACAAGTTAAAAACTATTTTACAATTCATAAACAGAAATAATTGTTTGCGCTTCAGCGTTGTTTAATGTCCTTATTATTTACTGTGAGTCATCCTGTAACTGTTTGATACTGTATGAATCTTCATCACTTTTTAAACTGGTGCAGATTTTACCTCCCATCTGTAAGAGCCTCAGTTTCACCATCGTCTTTCTTCTCTGTCTGATCACTTGTGGTGGAGGCAGTGTTTTTATATAAACTGACGGATTAAGGGAGAGTCTTCATCTATTTATGGCTAATTGTGGGAGTGGAAATGAGGCTCGTGCACATGTGACCAATGTGTCAGTGAGTGAGATTTCTAAAGAAGAAGCATGTGAACACACGGCTTCATAATTCTGATGAGAAGAATGTGTATGAATATTTCTGGTTTTTGTGCGTACACATGGTTTTAGTCATGAATCTACACACAGTGAGTGACCTTCTGCAAAAGTGAAGAATCATCAGCCAAATCATGCACAAGCACATTGTTTTTATCTCGACTTCACATTCGAAGAACACATATTCAAACTTTTTGAGCCTGAATATTTGGTTCAGTGAATAATTTGTTCATTTCAAGTCTGTTCACACCTGTTATTTCATTTCATTTCACTTCAGCTGTTTATTTGAGCTCTGCACATCAATGAGGAATCACAACAAGTCAGTTCTGATAACCTTCATGGAGAGGTGTGACCAAACTAATGGAGGAGTGAGAGACAGGTATGAAGATCAAACACATCATGACATGCTCCTTCAGGTGTGAAGTTCCCCTCATTCCACAGGAACGATATTAACAACATTTCAGCTTATTATTTGTATTATCATTATTTTCAGCTATTATTAACAGCTCCTGGATTTTCTTTCTACACTTTGTCTCAGCTGTGACTCGTCCCCCATTCAGATCAGTTTCATTGACATGTTCTGGGTTTACAGGAGTTTAATCCTCAGCCTCCAGGGGAAACTTATTGATTTGTAGAAGCTGATCAATAACCACTCTTTCAGCACTCGGTGATATGAGTCAGAAACATTCACATTAGAGCTTCTATTTGGGCGCTGCGGGTACAATATTTTTCAGAGTGTATATGTGAATAATAAGAGACTTACGCTGTGGTATAAGCCGTCCTGAGAACTAGGAGGAGAAGAACCTGCGTTCAACACATTGTCAGACTCAGTTCTGCTTATCTGCCACAGTGCATTCGCTTGTATCACTTATGTGCCGCATGTATTAATTTTTAAAAGCAAAAGAAGAAAAAAAAAAGTTCTTCGAGCTGTGGCGCCATTAATCTTAAGGCTTCGTGTCAGTTTGTGGTGAAACTTGTAAAACAAGGCTTAACTACATCATGTTTGCCCTGTGGATCGATGCTAATGCAGCTCACAGCTCCATTCTCATTTATCTGATACGCAGCTCATTTTAGGACCAACCAGTCACAGATTAAGTGACTGGACACATGACAAACAAGACCAGGCCTACACCTAGTACATGTGTGGACCACCAATGCTCACATCCTGATTTCATAATATATAATATATAAATATATAGTCATTTTTATAACTGAATACTGAGCTGTGATTTCAGCTTATTTACTGTAACATGATCACGCAGAGAAAAAGTTAGAAGAGACAGACTATCTTTCTTATTGAGTCTCTCACACAGAGCACAGCCTCTGTCTGGATCCAGAATAGTTTAGTCTTTATTTACTTCAACGTCAGAACAGTGACAGACTTTATTAGAGGCAGGTCTTTATGTCTAACTGTTGGATATGTAGAGTTGGTCATAGTCGTTAGTACAAAGACTTGTTTTCAGTCGATCCCATCTGTCATGTTAAAGTTTCTGCATTACGTGGTAATACAAACTCAAGATTCCTTGTAATCATTTCAAATTAAAAGCCCTTTTGCAGTGCAGTGGGCAGAAACCCTCTATTTCTTAACAGGTCTTTTTTTGCTGTGCTGCAGTAAGCATTTTGTCTCATTTCCTGTTGCTGGTGTTTCTGTTGTTCACATGCTATTCAGATCTGCTAGTTTCTTTAGCAGTTACCGATGACTTCTCTCTCTGCCTCCCTCTCTCCTGCTCTCTCTGCTCGGTGTGTCTCCTGTTAAGTCGTTCCTCTGCTTCCTTTAGAAATAATGATATATGGAATAAAAGTAGGTTATTTGCTGTAACGGAGGCGAGGCTCAGTGTATCGGAAGCGCTCCTCTTCTTCTCTGCAGTTCCCAAGCGGCCAGGAAACCAGAGCGGCTCAGTAGACTGCCTGTAAGAAGAAGTGTAGCTCTAAGCCCCCAGTCAGCATCCATACACGGTCCAGACCTGAACCAGGTTTATACCCAGTCTGTTTGAAAACAATGAGCCAATGAGCTAAGTTAGCAACACTGCAGCTGTAAACACTTCCTAATAGATCCTGTTAGACCCAGACACTCCAACTCAGTGACGAGGCACTCAGCTGACCAGTGGTGGAAATATGATCAGTCAGTCAGTCAGTCAGTCAGTCAGTCAATCAGTCAGGGACATTCCAGATTATAGGGAAGACCCAACTGTTGCAGTCCAGCCAAAGATATGGTGAACATACAGCACAGGGTGTGTTAATACACTGGGCGTCTGCATACATGGACATCATGTGTAACTGCCATCCGTAGAAGTGTAACACAATAGAAGTAGATAGTGAGATTGTATGTGTGTGTGTGTGTGTGTGTGTGTGTGTGTTCATTTTCAGAATCCTCATTTTCAGATTATACTTCATTATTGGAATAACAATAAATTCAGTGTATGAAACCTCTTTGAACCTTGAAATGTGTCACCAGAGCTGATCCTCATATTCTTACCACTGTTATTTTAGTTTTCACCTTCTGGTGAAGAGGCAGGTGAGCACCAAGACACTTACTCAAATATCAGTCTCATGACAGTGTTGTTGCAGGTTGTATTAAAGTTCAGCAGCCAACCTCCATATGACCAGCTGTTTTCCCGAGGTCTCTGTCTCTCTTTGGATTAGTCGATTCACAAAACTAACACTGGTGATCCTGGATAACCAGTATCATGAAGCTGGTCATCACCGGCCTCTGTTCACACTGCTGCACCACAAACCACATCATCAGTACCATGAATTAAATACTGACATTAAATAAAATGCTTTTCAGCTGCTGATGTGTTTCAAATTACTATGGCAGTCATTTGCATCCATACACAACATTATCCTCACCCTTCCACACACACACACACACACACACACACACACACACACACACACACACACCTAATCCTAATTCCAATCTGGACTCTGAAATTAAATTATACGTTACACGTATATACATTGTGAGCACCAGACAAACTGTACTCACTCTATAATTCAAACTGGTCCTCAAAAGCATGGAAGTACAGAGAGTACACAGAGTCTGAGTGAGGAGTCAGTCAGTGCAGTAAACAGTTTAAGATGCACACAGCCTGTCTGTGAGCCCTCACTGACATGGGTCAATGATGATATGTTTTGTATTTCAGTCACACCCTCAGGAATACAAGGATGCAAAGAAAATCATAAGGCTGACAAACAAAGAATCAAAGGACTAGCTCCCTCCTTGAGGGTCTGGGAGCAATCCAGGTTGGGAGACAGGTTCCTGTCACCTGCTCAGCCTCCTCCCAAAGGTCTGGAGCATGACCACTGTAAGGAGCAGCCAACAACTCGAAACCGAACCGAAATCAAAAAGAATACCAAACACCTCATTTATATATTTATTTTCTATGTTTCTTTCTTTCTCTATTTCTCTCTCCCCCTCAATAAAGCTACATATATAAAAATCTATAGCAATAACAAAAAGCTGTCAGTTGTTCTCTGTAGCAGTGTTTGCCATCATATCATGTTATGTTCTGGTTTATCTTGTTACATCCTGTTATCACTTTCTTTGTCTTTATCTTGCTTCACCAAATAAAAAAAGAATAACGTTAATCTATATTATTTGAATTGTCATGAATCCCATGAATCCATTGGTTCCTACTTATGATGTAAATCTTTAAAATCACCTCACAAATACATAGTATAATCTTTTAAAAAATGCATTTGTTAGGGACTATTTTCAGCAGTGGATTAATCCACATTTGGTGCTGTAGGGAATATTTGGGGCAGCAGGATGGTGTGTGTGTGTGTGTGTGTGTGTGTGTGTGTGTGTGTGTGTGTGTGTGTGTTGATGGTGATGAAGGAACTTGTCACAGGAGTGACAGTGAAGTTTGTATGTGAACATATTTGTGAGGGATTTTTTCCTGGAGGAGACTTTTGTTTGTTCCTGTGGGTGCCAGGTGAGTGGCGGGAAGCGGAGCGTGACAGAGAAATGAGGATAAAACACAGAGTTTCTTCATATTTACTCTGATGGATTATCTCACACTGCGGAAGATGATTTCACAGTGATGATGGATAAATGGCAGGAAATGGTGTCTTATTCTGAAGGAGGAAAACAAGCCAACACAACAAACTGTACATTTTCACTGAGTTACATACTGATGGCTATAATTAGCTCATAATTTCTATTAACAATGGATCATGTCTGCTGTGTGGGCCCTGACTGGGGTTAGGGTTAGGATGAGTGAATGCAGATGAATTAGTGGAAGACAGTCTGACCTGTGGGGCTCTCCAGTCCTCCGGCTGCTGTGTCTCCTCCTCCTCCAGCAGAGGCCGTAGTGGGAGTGGTGGTATTGGTTGCGGTGCTGCCAGTGTACTTCTTGCTGCCACTGTACTCTGTGCTGCTCTCGTCGTCCCGCACAGTGGTGGCTCCTGATTGGATGCCGGAGTCTGAGGCGTAGTAGGTCTGCTGCCACTCTGCCACCTTCACCACGCTGTCCGCCTCACTCACTGCAGGGGACACCATATGGCTGACATCAGGTAACAATACTACTGACACTACTACTGTTACTGCTGCCAGCCAGAGTACTGCTGCTGCTGCTGCTGCTAGTACTCATTTGTAGTTCTACTTGTATTAATATTAAAACTGCCAGGACTACCTCTACCACTACCGCTAAATGTACTACAACTAGTACTACTACTATTGTTACATACAATAAAGCCACCTCTAGCCTCTTACAACCCTTAGCCTGCCGGTGCGGCCTGGTTCAAACCCAGTTCCAAAGGTTCTGAATGTGTTCTGAAGGAATACATGCTTAAACGTTTGTCAGTATAGGCAGGTTGTATTTTGTTAGACCGGTTAGAGTCTCTAGAATTCCAACCATAAGCACATAAATATGATTTATTAATATTGTGTACCCGTAATATCCGTAATATAGTGGTGGTGACCCTATCTTTGAGGAGGTCTAGAAGTCCTATTGTCTGTCCATTCCTCCATTATTTGTATTCTTTTAGTCTGTAAGCGTCCACAGATCACAAAAATCAAAAAGGTTTCTTCATAAAAGTAGTACTGAGTTATGAATATCGTCATGGGAGGTACATAGCAGACTATCGAGTGATCCATCTCTCTCCCTGCTGCTGCATCTGCGGATGTGTCAGCTCCATTCAGATTTCACTCCAGGAGGCCTGGGTGAAGACAGCAAGCGTACCCGAGTGAAAAATAGATGACACAATTCTTTCAGTTGGAGAAAGCGTGGCTATTGGTTACTGACTCTGTCAATCATTCAGTCTTGAGGACAGGTGTCTGCCCTGTCCAATACGACCAGACAAGTAACATGTGGGTGCCAGTGAAAAAATTAACTAAAAAGTCCACAGCTCCTGAAGCACTCACTGACAGGAGTGAAAAAACAGGTGTTAAGAGGCTAGAGCTACATTTGCTTCTACCGCTACCTCTGTAACTACAGTGTACTGTGACTTTTGTTACTGCTGCTGCTGTTATACCAATAGGCTACTATTATTTCCTGTACTGCACCTAATTACAGTACTGTGTTACAGTATTACTATTACTGATAAAACTACTACTACTGCTGGACTCAATTTGAATCATAACCACCAGCAGTTAACAGGTAATCTGTGCTGGCTGCTGTGGTGACAGAGCACTTACTTTGCATGGACATCATCTCCGTCCACTGGTACCACTGCCTTCACTGACCTTTGACCTGTAGAAGAGAGGAATCATCAGGTCTGTGAACAGAAGGATCACATACAAGATTCAAACTAATCCTTCTCTTGAGGATTATGGTTCAATCACCACATTTACGACTAATTCATTAACTCGCAACACAGTGTCCCACACTCCACATGAGCATCTGATGACCCTGGGGTGGGAGGACCTGATGTCTATCTCGGCCTACAGGGAGATGGCTCCATGGGCCAAGGCCCAGTCACCAGACACTCACCTGGCTCCAGGAGGGTGTCCAGGTGAGGTGTCTTTATGGGAGGTTTAAGGGGGTTTATAGTTGTCATTGAAAAAAGTGCTCGGGGGGGGCCATCAGGGCCTTGTTTCCCCTTTGCCTCTCCTGATGGTGCACCTTGCTTGTGTAGGGATCAAACCTGTGAGCTTTTAGTCACATGACCACAACTTCCTCAGTGAGTTTAGTATTTTCTGATCAGTCTGTTACCAGCTGTACTGCTGCATTATCAAATACAGCAGTAATTAAAACTTAAAACTGAAAATAATATTTCAAACAATTGATCATAAACATAAGTAATAAAGGAGTGTAGGTGTGTTTGGCACTGACCCTCACACAGCAGTAGAGTATAGCATATAAACAACATAAGAAACTTCAACTGTTGAACTGTTTTGTGCTGTGTCAGTTGTAAAGAACATCTGCTTTTTCTGCTGTTGTGAAATGATTTCTTTCCATGAAGCTAAAAGCTGCAGCTGTAAGTTAACTCAGATGTCAGTGTTGGGAAGCACACACACCTCCAGGGAGCAGACTTATCTGACTCCCAGAGGCCAGGGCTGGAGAAAGGTCAAAGCGTGTCATCCTCCCTGTCAAGAGTCCTTCGCTGCCTGCTGGGAAGGAAGATGCCCAGAGGAAGACAGTGTATGTGTTTTTCTATGTGCATGTGCATTAAATATTACAACCAAATGGTCCAGAACATGCATCAGTTGAGCAGGATGACGCCCAGATCAGATGAAGATTGGTTGGTCCACCACAACCTTCTCCTAACATGGACTTTTTCTCTCTTTATACTACGTCACCGAGCTTTTCCCTTTGCTCCGGTCATCATTACTACGACCATTAGTTGTCGCCTAGCAACAAAATGTAACTACGGGTCATTATAACCTGCTGCACAGACGACCTGTGGCAGTCTCGAAAGGTGTCACTTCACCAACACTGAGCACTTACTTTAGTTCATTATTTTAGGTTAACAACCCACAACAGCTTGCATCAGGATCATTAGTAGCAACAAGTAGCTGTTCTCAGTGAAAAGGCTCTGAAAAACCTACTGTGCGGTATCTGCTGTGCGGTAGAGGAGCATTTAGCAGCAGAGGCAGATATTTCCCTCAGCAGCTGGTGGAGACCAAACACAGAGCTAAAAGAGAGGGATCACTGGACTGGGACACAAACACCACTCCACATGATGCTTTGTGTTCATAAGGCTGTAAATGTTATGATTTGCCATGGCAGTCACTTTCTGTTTGCGTTTGTTTGGATTTTGTCACTTCCTGTTTTATTTTGTAATTGGTTTCCTTGTGTGTCAGTGTTTTTACTTCCTGTCTTGGTCCTGTTTCTGTGTGGTGATTGTCTGCCCCGCCCTAATGTGTTTCACCTGTGTTCAATCACCCTTGCCTCCCTTGTGTCTATATAGTCTCTGTGATCCCCTTTGTCTGCGTCGGTTCGTTGGTTCATGTCTGGTTTGTCCTCAGTCTGTTCATGTCTCCTGTTGTCGTCCCCTGTGGTTCCTAGTGTTTTGGCCTGCTGTTTAAGTTCCTTGTGTAACCCTTGTGCTTTGGTTTCCTTTTCAGTTGGTTCACCAGTTTTTGCCTGTTTGGATTTTGAGTTTTTGTAAATGGTTACTTTGTGTTATTAAAATAATTTCTTTCCACCAAACTCCCTTGTGTTTTTGGCTGCATTCGGGTCCTGCTTACCACCAACCCTGACAGTAAAAAGCTTTGTGACATCCAACACCTTCAGCCCCAGTCTCCCATACATTTGTATCGTGTGTGTGTGTGTGTGTGACAGAGAGAGAGGACAGAAATGTAAGACTAGTTTCCTGTGTGGACAACAGTGTCTCTTATTTTCCCTCTGCACTCATCCACAATATCTACTTTGTGACATAGCGTAGTATTACTCCTGTGTTTAGTTTGTTTTTAAAGCTGTCTTCAGATCTGCCTGTTGTTGTGGACCTGCCTCATCATCAGTTCCCATAAAATCAATTGACTCTCAATTACACCACATTCTCAGCTGATGGGAGCCAGCAGCAGCAGCGACAGCAGCAGTACAAATATGGCAGAAAATTAAATGTAAGATCTTTTCGTTGTGTGCCTCCCTGCTGATTAAATTAACATTGACCACCTCTGATGGCTGTGTTGCTTAATCAATAGAGGCAGGCTGCAGGAAGCTAATCATTAGCGATCACAATTACTGCAGGTCTTCTGATGACTCATGATTTACAGGGCAAGAGAAAGGAAGTGAGGCCATTAGAATGACCTCTATCTATCCTAAAATATGGTCAGGCCTTCATCTAAGGTACAATGATGAACAAACAATCTATTTGAACTGATAACATGCAAATCATTGTGTTGTTCTTGTTTAAACCTTCATGGTGCAGGTGAAACAGTGTGTGAAGCCCTCGACTAATGACATCAACAGAAGCTAGACACTGGAGACACTAGAGACACTTTGACTTCTAAACAACACTCAGACACTTAAAGAGACATCAGCTGATGTGAACCAGACAGCACAACAAAGACCTCAGAGACTGAGGATGAAGCAGACTTGATGAACATGAAGCTGAAAGGGTCACAGAGTTCAGATCTTCATCATTCCACAGTCACACAGACTGTCTACAGATGGAGATGATTCAGATCACATTTTGTTCGAAGAAGAAAACAAACTAAAAATACTGTTGAGAAGTTACATTGTTTGATGACACACTTAACCATCACATTATAGGAGGGAAGAGGGAGCTAACTCTAACCTATCATAAGGCAGGCCTCTAGCAACCCACAACCCACTTCACCAAAACACATACAGCATGCTAGCTGAAAACTCTTTTCATTTGGTTCTCTGCCAGATTTGCTCAAATTCCCGTGAGCTGTAATGAGCTAAAAACATGAAACTTGGCACAAAGACTGGAAATCATGTGCACCAGCTTCCCAAGAAATATGAGCTCAATCGGCCAGATGGTGGCACTGTAATTAAGGCCAATTTTGGAAAGGCCACGCTCCTCGCACTGTTTGTCAGATTGACTATAAATTTGACACACAACTCCAGCTCAATGTGTTCTACAAAAAATCCTATTGGAACATGTAAGTCTGCCATGATGGATTCATTGGTAATTAGCATAATGTGAAAAACACTAAAATGAATAGAATTTTATTATTATTCGGTTTTGACTTGGCAACACCAAACTTGGTATACAACCATTGGGGACTAAAATAGAAATTTATATTATATATGACCGAGATCAGTCAAAAAACATGGCCACCATCAACAAAAATATCTTTGTAAAATGCGGGGCTTAGCCAGTATTGGCCATAACTCATTAACTCTTTGCTCAATTATCATAAAACTTGAATAATTGGAATAAGCCTACCAAAGCAAATATGATCTTTGTCGGCCCAATGGTGGTGCTATAATTAAAGGTATGAAAGATTGAAAGGCTGCTCCTGGCACACTGCGAGTCCCATGGACTTTAAATTTACCTCACACCTATAATACAATATGCTCTACAAAAAGCCTCTGTGATGACAAAGGCCACCATGATTATCTTTTAGCTAATTTGCGTAATTAGATCAAATTTAGTTGCTTCTCCCTGTTGAGTGCACATGGGGTTAGAGCCCTCGAATTTCCACTTGCGGCTATAATATTTCTTTTACATAAATGTGTCTTAAGAGGTGAAATAAAATGGGGCACTGACTCTGTGAGTCTGGGTCCTAACAGCAAAGATTCTGTCTGCTCTCATTTTCAACCTAGACCGTGGAATGGCCAAAAACCCACAACCAGAAAATCTCAGTGGTTTGTATTCGCCCTTAGCACATCATGTTACCGTGCCAACTCAGGTTTGTTTAAAGTTACCCCCTGAACACCCTGTCCCTGTTCATTTTCATTTATTCATTATAAATCTAACACACTGGTGACATCCTGATAACACTTTAGTTTATAGTTCAGCGACCAAAAGCACTTGAACTCCTGGTTTAAGCCAGAAGAAAATGAACTAAGAAATGCAGGTGAAAATAATACAGAGACACTTAATTAGTCAGTATATGTCTAACAGGGTGGTGGTATTGACAGGGGCTGTGCCACTATTAGAGTCCCCTGACCTTTTCCAAGGTATCCACAACAGCTTTAATTAAAAAAAATAAATAAATAAACCCAATAACACATCTTTTCTCCCTGTTCCCATCACAGAGTGCACCTGAACGCTTCGTTTTAATTTAAAACTGTGATAATTAACACACCCCTGGACTCCCCTGCACAGGTTCACAACTATAATCTATAACACACAAAACCCTCCACTTGGTGTTCCAAGCACTTTCCTCCTGGTGTCTCCTCATTTGAAACAGCCAAGTGTGAATTGCTCTGTGGCTCCATATGTTTGTTGGGAGTCCCTGTCTAATTAAAAGCAGACGCTGTGGGATACACGTGGAGTTAATGTTACGGAAAGTTTTGTGGCTCGATGTTGGAGCATTCCCCTGTCGATGTTTAAGCAAAACAAAACATATGGAGGAGAGAGGTAAAGGGAGGAAGAGGCGAAGGAGAGGAAGTGAGGGGAAAGAAGAAACTAGCATCACTGCCTCATGGCTGCCGGAAATATGGTCACAATCTCTCCCCTCACTGAGTTACAGTGCTGAACCATGGTCAGAAATGTTTTGCGGAATATTATGATGTCACAGTGAAGTTGACCTTAGACCTTTGACCACCAACATCTAATCAGTTCATCC